ATTCGATTAGTCTGACTTTTTTAATCAATATTTATAAAAATAATTAGTCGATGTGATATAATGAATAGAGTTGGGAATCGATGAATAATTATTCAAGCATCAATTGAAAATTTCAAGTATCGAAATAAACTTTATTCATTGATTTTTAATTAAAACATCGAGCATCAGTCATGATTAATTAACAGATTTATGACGATAAACAGATTTTTCAAATTAGCATTAATAAAAAAAAACATAGAATTTGATTTAATATTAGATAAAGATATTACACCTTCTATTGAAGAGGGAGTCTCTCTTAATAATGAAGAGGGCGAATCTAATAGCATTAATATATCGATTTGTAAAGAACCAAAATCAAATATAGAGAAGACTGTTGCCAATAGTTCTAAAAAACGATCCTGGGTCTGGCAATACCTTGATTCTGGATTGTGCATTTGTAATTGATATGTGAAAAACCGTGAAGTGACTTGTTCATATTACTTATAACTTTTTTGCAATCCATTATGAGTGTGAAGAGAATATTATTAATCCAAAATTATTTGGAAGAATGGCATTTCTAAAACTAAACAAAAAAAAATCATCGATTTTATGATTTCTAATATTTAGGACTAATTATGGTGTTTTTATGATGATGTAAATTAGCGAATTATAAGTCGTGTAAGTTGATTAAGCAATGTAGCGGTAATATCACACAATTGATAAATTTGATGTTATACTAATTTCTTTTATGTATTTTTAAAAAACTCGAACATTCGAACATCGGCCAAATTTTTTACCGAAGCTCGAAAACTAAAGTTTGTAACCAATCAATGCTCGAAACTCATCGATTCCAAACTCTAATAATAAAATTGCCTGATTTTAAATACAGTATTGCTGCTATGCTCATTTTATTTCACAGTTCTATTAACTAGTATAGTCGGATCTCCATAAGTGCTACATTATTTGATCAGTCTAATGTAATTTATGTAACATTATATTTGTAGATCGTTCATAATGCAACATGCACTTGTGTAGAGTTGACTGATTAATCAACACTAACTAGCCGACTTGAATTATTCGTTGTATCGACCGATTCTTTGAGATCGGCTACTGTCCATAATGTTGATCTCACATTTACCTAACCATTAATAGTAAGGATATTTTTGCTGAAAACTTGTTTTACATTATGATGTAAGCTAATCGCCATACGAGTTATTTCCGGTTCGGTTACTGTATTTGTTTTTTTTTAAATTTCATGTTACTATCGCTATTACATATTGATCTTGAAATTGGATTGGGCAACAAAACTGCAAAATTTTTACGCCGTGGTTTTATTACTTAGATAGTATGTGGTAGTTTGTGGTTTCTTAGACTCTATCGGGAACAGTACATAAATTTTTTTTTCTACTTCATCAGAAACAATACCAACGATTATATTTTTGCTTCTTTAGAGATCAATTAAATTTTAGGGGTATGACTTCTTCTGGTGAACGGAATTAGATGACAGTTTAAATTGAAGAATTTCAGGAAAATTTTTTTATTTCGCTAAATAAATAAATAACTCTCATTTTCTTTAATTTCAATCGTCTTAACTATCGGTAACACTACATATTAGGATTTCAGAATTAATAAAAAAACATGTCTAAAGATTTCCATTGAGGGTTTCTGAATTAACGTGCGGAAATCTAATTTGACAGAAATACAGTAGATAACGTATTTATTTTCAAATGAGCGATGTATCAACTTTATTTCATTTTCCGATAAAATTGTAATAATGAGTTTTGTCGTTGAAAAGTTTATTTATTTCATTAAATGTGAGTCTTTAAACACTCCCATTTCATTTTCCAATTTCAAAATTTTGATATACAAATAAGATTTTTTAAGCTCCTACTTATTTTCAGAATGCGTTATTTTTTTAATTCTGAAACCCCTCATTTCACGAAATTCTCGATAACATAGATAATTATTTCAAAGCCTGTTATTATGATAGTAAATAATTGTAGTTAACAAAAAAAAAAAAGACTCAAAGTTTATTTTGGTTTTAATCGAAATGATATTATAGATAGAGATGTGAACTGTGAAATACAGTACATATAAATAAACTGTAGTTTATTTTAAAACTACAGTTTTACAGTAAACTACAGTTTATTTATATTAACTAATAGTTTACGGATCGCACCTCTAATTATAGAACATTTGTTTCTAAAATAAATACGTCATATATTTAGCTAAACTCAGATTTTCTCATTTTGATTCTTAAATTCATATCCGATATATTTAATGAAAATAGCTTTAATAATATTTAAACTTTTAGACTTTTATCATTTACGGCATTAATTTTGATACGGTATTGGCCATTAGTTGTGGTCTTAAATTTGGCTTTAGACAATGCCGCATGCCAAACATCAGGTAAAAATTATGTCAAAATACTTTCTACATTATGTATAAAGATCCTTAAAGCTGAGTTAAGGTTGGGTTACTTCTTTAATATCATTAGTGTTATTTTATATAGATAAGTATCAAAAAAGATTAACTTCCTGAAATCTATTTTTATGAATACCATTTCACCCAAAGCTATAATACTGACAATACATAATTTTGATATTTCTTTTTCCAGAAATATCATCCAATAACAAAATTTTCCCGATAATAGAAGTAGTAATACAGACTGACTCGCGGGTCGATGAGCAGATCAACCCTCAGTCTGCACCTTTGTGGGTCATACTGTTCTAACTGATCGAGAAATTAACTAAAAATCGGTTAATTATTTATAACAATGTAGATAATCATTAGTTGGCCAATTTAGATAACGAATATAAAAATATGATATGGAACGGAAATGTTCGAATGCTTAAACAATTAACCAGCATAAAAATACTAAAGCGCTGGAATTTCTCACAACAAAAAGAATAAAACAAACCAATTTAGAATCATCAGAATTTGGCAAAGAACTGCCTGATGACTTTTTATGAGCTTGATATAAATATGAAAACTAGAAAAATTCTACTAGCGAAAATGTTAGTTCAGTCGACCGCCCAAGCTTTTTTAGGGTCGATCTGCTCACGAATTTTTGATCGTCCTGTATCACTATTTACAAAAATCATTTGTGATATGCAATTTTTCCAAATATTTACGATATTATCCAAATTCTTTCCGTACTGTATCCTTTCGCGTGTAATTTAAAGGTTAGAAAAATGTTTAGAAGATATTCAGAAGATGTTTAGAAGATATTCAGAAGATATTCAGAAGATGTTTAGAAGATATTCAGAAGATGTTTAGAAGATATTCAGAAGATATTCAGAAGATGTTTAGAAGATATTCACAAGATATTCAGAAGATGTTTAGAAGATATTCACAAGATATTCAGAAGATATTTAGAAGATCTTTAGAAGATATTTGGACGCAATTTAGAAAGATTACATATCACACCAGAGATTTTTGAAGAATATTTGTAAAAAAGGTTTATCGTTTTACCAGCGTACCATTTTTTCGATCATCAAAAAACCATAGACAACAGTATTATTATATTTCATGTCGATGAAACAAGTTGTCTGGAAATTAATTTTATCGAAAAGCATTTAGTGAAAATTTTTATGGTTGTCAGAAATAAGGTTATCGATATTGTAGAATGATAATTCGGAAAAGTGATTGTGCAACAAAGACATTTTATCGTCAATTACTAAAAATATTATGTAATCAATTAGCTAATTGGTAGATTTGCATTGTTAGATCAATTGATTATATAATAATTTAGTTAATCGACTAAAAAATTTTTAGTCAATTAATAAACTAGTTTTTTTTTTATTCCTATCCTTAAATATTACAATTAATTGAATTATGCAAACACTAACTAAAACGTATCTATGGTGTTTTATCACCTATGCTGTATTATCTCAAGAACTGGTTAATTAATCAGTGTGAAGTGTTCTAGGCTCAACACCCCAAAAACCTTCCAAACCCAATTCTAACCCTAAATATAGTGTCCTAACTTAGAAATTTTGGGTTAAGAATTTCTATGCAGGACTTATAGGTAATGCATGCCAATTAATTTTATTATGCATAACGATTATTACAATTATATTAAAATCATTTGATTACAGGATTAACAGATTGAATAAACAATTATTAGGTAAATATCAGAATACGAAATTCCAGATATGCATCTGATATACGTACTCCCATATTACTGCATCTGCCAAGCATCTGTTAGCATATTGGTAATATATCGGATAACAAATAATAAAATATCGATGCTTGTACATACGTACGTATATCGGTAAAATATCCGCAATCCCGATACTTTATCCGGTGCATTTAATTAAGTATTGGAATTGCTAATATTTTAAAAATATGTGAAAGGTGTTGGATGACGCAGATGATTAGCAGATTGCACCGCTGTGCAGTATTATCCCCTGTTTCCACACTCTGATCATGTGCAAAAATTTTTTTATAATTTGAGAAAGTCGGTCCGTATTAGTATAACTCAAGCAAAAATTTCATGCGCACAATGCGATTGAAATTTGAAAAAAAAACACCAATTTGCATCCAATAAGATTGTGACGTAGTTATTGGTAACTATACTATTTTTCACATTAGTATAGTTTATGTTATCAGTTTAAGTTTTTTATTTTTATGCCCCTTTTTTTTAAGACGAGGCTATCATTAAAATTTAAGCCATAAAAAAAAAAAGGATGGATAATGTAATATGAAAAAAAAATTTTTTAGTGCAGTTGTCAATAATATGACTGCATATTAATTACCGATAAATGTACCAGCACCGATAATTTACTATTTATTACCCGATATTAAGTGCATATCGAGAGTTCGTATTTTGATATTTACCCGATATTTATTAATTCGATTTGTGATTAAGAATTATGCACTACAATAAATATTATTGAATGAATGACTTAAGAGGAATGGCTTAAGAGGAATGACTTGAGCGATATCATTATAAATATGCAGCCGAATGCACTTCAAAAAGATTTATTTCTTTAATAAAGCAATATTATAAGAAAAAAATGATTATTTTAACACACTTAAAGTTTGGAGTTTTATTCCTTGCTCTCGGAGTATTATTATCATGCGATTTGGCTTCGTCTCACTGGACAAAAAAATTGAAACATAGAGATGTTTCAAGACGTCAAATTAAATTTACTCAACCGAACCTTTGCGATAAGGGTACACAGGTATATTTATGACTTATATTTATTTAGAATAATCTTTGATTATTATTTAATACTAAATTTTTGAATATTAGTATGCAGGATACGTTGATGTTAGTAGCGATAAACATTTATTTTTTTGGTTTTTCGAATCGAGAGGTAACCCTGCCCAAGATCCGCTCGTTCTTTGGGTATGTAAACATTGTAACTTATGGGTTTTTTTATCTGTTAAATCATTAATTGAACATTTTAAATTTATTAAAAATAGCTTAACGGTGGCCCAGGGTATGACACTTTTTAAATTTTATTTATTACAATCTTTACACGTAACAATATATATTTCTCCAGTGTTTGGCAATATGGACATTTGGACTTATTAAAAATAATATGGACAAATATGGACATAGTAATTTATGGACATGGACATATAGGTGACAAATATGGACATAGTAATTTATGGACATGGACATATAGGTTTAGACATAGTCCAAATTTTTTAAAAAATATAGACATATACCAAGTGCAAACACTGTATTTCTCAAAATTTTATACCATATTAGTAATAAGATCTACTGTATTAAATTAGTAATGGTTTCACGGCTTATTGGAAGTAATAAAAAGGTAGGGTGTGGTGTCAATGCAGGGACTCTGACAGAAAAGATGACGATGCAGACTCACAGTATTGACATCATGCATAGCCCTTTATTCGCGCCTCACTTTATGCATCTACGCCACCTTTTTATTATTATGTTATCCACAATTCTCATGATCATCCTGACGTATAGCGATAGATGGTGGTAGAATTCAAAAATAGAAATTTTAACAATGAAAATGATTACGTACGTAGTAATCATTATTATAATTTCCATTTTCGAATTCTACCACCATCTTTATCCTGGCAGCAGTAGCTCCAGTAGTAACTTTAGTCAACGATAGTTGTTATTATTCATTTTATAATTAGAGAGCTTATAACAACGTATACCTTTTATTAAAGAAACCATCGAACCTTTAATACATTTAAGATCTTAATTTGATCTCTGGGTAGCTTTTGAAATTAACAGTCAATTATATTTTAATTATACATAATAGATGTTCTTCTATAAATTCATTATACTATGAAATGGGTCCTTGCACTGTTAACGAAGGAGGAAATAGTACAACGGTAAATCCTAACTCATGGACTAATAGTGCCAGCATGATTTTCTTGGATCAGGTATGAAAAGAATATTTTTTTACACTATTTTTTTACAATATATATTTTGTGTAATTATTAACAATTCAACTGCAATATAAATTTATTTTTATAGCCAACTAATGCAGGATACTCTTATGGTGCTAATGTATCTGATACTACAACCGCTGAAGAAGATGTATACACATTTTTACAAGCCTTTTTCAAACAATTCCCTCAATATTCTAAGTTAAAATTCCATATTGCTGGTGAATCGTAAGCATTTGTTAATCTTATAAATATTATTAATATTGTTAACATTGTTAATCTTATAAATATTGTTAATATCGTTAATATTGTTTAAATAAAAATCATAAAATTATTTGTATATTTTGTTTACAGGTATGGAGGACATTACGTACCCGTCTTAGCCTCAATTATCAAAAAGAACAATGATATCAATCTTGAATCCATCTTGATTGCAAATGGTCTAGTAAACCCTCTATTGCAATTCAAATATTTTCCAGATATTGCTTGTAATAATCCATCTTATCCGCCAGTGTTAGATAATGCCACATGTGCTCAGATGACAGCGGATTTTCCTAAATGTGCTGGTGCAACACAAACATGTTACAATACAAAAGATCCAAATGATTGCGAAAATGCTTTTAGTATATGTTCTAGTACAATGATTGATCCTCTTACAAAGGCTGGTATAAATGATTTGGATATAAGACAAAAATGCAGTAATATTGCTTGCTATCCAGAATTTTCGTATATCTTGACATATTCTAATAGTATAGCTGTTAAAACTGCATTGGGGGTTGATCCTTCGTATAACTTTCAACTATGTAACCTTGATATGAATAGCACTTTCGTTAAATCTGGTGATTGGTAAGCAATCTAGATTAATCAATTAATATAAATTAATTGAGATTTTGATCTAATTTTGTGCTTAAAGCTTTTACAAATATATTTATACATGTTTAATAATATTTTTATTTTTTTAATTTAGGATGCTTCCCTTTGACAGTTACATTCCACCACTCTTGGAAAACAATATTCGAGTATTAGTATATGCTGGTAATTTTATTGATACTATATGATAGTTTTGTTTTAATTGGTTGAAAAATTTTTTATTTAATTTGTCATAAAATTATTTTTATAGGTGATGCTGACTATCTTTGTAATCACCTCGGTAAGTATTTGTCACTAAATTTATATACTTTAAAATGTCTTGGAGCAATTACAAGTATCTAACTCTCGTTAGTGAAGTGATCTGCTCCATTAATATTTTTTTTAAATTTATTATACTGAGAGTTTTAGTAAATTTACTATGGCAAGATTTTAATTAATAATCGTTTTTTTTTAGGTAACGAAGCATGGACAAAAGCTCTTGATTGGTCTGGTAAAGCAGCTTTTAATAGTGCTAGTGTTACTAAATGGATAACAACTGATGGTAATTACGCTGGAGATGTTAGAACATTCGGTGGACTTACATTCCTAAAAGTTTTCAATGCGGCACATATGGTAGCTCATGATCAGCCAGCTGCAAGCTTAGATTTCTTTTCTAAATGGATATTAAATAAACCTTTGTAAATGATTTTTAAATATAGTTAAATTGCGCATACTCTCTAGCTTTAACATTTTTTTCAATATTTTATTCATATTTGTGAATCAATTATTTGTCAAAAATAATTTGCTGGCAAATTGAAATTGTGATTTAGTATTTAGGTTTAATCTTATTGATTATTTTATTATTTTATTATCTTCATTATTTTATTATTTTACTATTTTATTATTTTATTATGTATTATTTAATTACTATTCTTATATATATTTTTTTTGTATGCTATCAAGTAATAAAAATTTATCGTTACAAATTAAAATAAAGTATTATATTATTAAGTTAATAATAGTTATCGTTTTATAATATACACTTTAAGTAAACCATTAAGTACTTTTATAAAATAAATATATAATAATTATTATTGGTCGCTTCGCGCCCAATAACTATATATTATTAATATTTGATAATTACATTGATTTTTACATTGATATTTATAAAAACAATTCCTTTATTGTCACAAGAGTTATTTTTTTTATTATATTCGAATCGACTTTTACCGCTTTTATTACATATTTTCTTCAACTCTTATGGATTCGCAAGAACATAACTTCATGACTCGTGAAATCTTTAACTGAATATTAAGACACTCATTAACAAAAGGAAAACAAACGAAGCTTGATATTAAAAGTTGTTATAATAAATGTTAAAATGTACAAAAAAATCCGAACCTTTAGTGGATGCAAAGTTCAAATATTGGGCGGGCAATAGTTTTAAAGTTCATTGTATTGTTGCAACAGAGAAACTGTATCTGTAAGAATAACTTGAGGATATAAGTTTGTTATACCATGAAAACACCCAGAAAAAGGTAAATTTATGTTTGTTTTTTTTTAAAAATAAAAATAACAATAATAATAACTTTCTTATTAAATTCGAGTTAGATACTGCTATATTCTCAACAGTTAGTTGAAAATGTGATTAATGAATGCAAAGTGTGTATTACTCGACATATTTCTAAGAATTTCACCAATGAGCCTATTGTTTCCAAAGGTTTTCTAAATCGCGTTCAAGTATGTGTAGTATATTAACTTTAATAAATAAATTTATGTAGTTAAACAAAATATAAATTGTATTAGTTCAATCCTATCAGTTCTTTTAAATATTAAAAGAAACTTATTGAAAACAAATTTTGGTTCTCAACAAATGGTACTCAGAAATGAACTTGAACCACTGGGCACCCTGATTATCCTGATCTCAACGTTGTACCACTAAATAACATACTTACTTTCGTTAAAAGAAGCAGGTACCAGACAAAACCTTACACTCCCAACTAGTGCTGGGTCGGGTCGGGTTGAAAATTTTCGGGTTAGAGCTTCAACCCGACCCGGCCCGGCCCGACCCGAACCCGACCCGAAATTTTAGGGTAAATATATTAAATTTTTTTAAAAAAATGAATTCAATCGCCTTTTTTCTTTTAAACGTTTAAAAATTCATGTAACGATGATCATCGAAGTTGGCTAATCAAATCTAAGCGCGTTATGCTTATAACTACTACAGTAAGAATCGTGCATTGCATATTCAGAATCAATGAAAGTTTTTTTTTATTTTTATTCTATAATTCATGGAATTAATATAAAAAAATTTAGGGGAATTTACAAATAAGGGCCCAAAAACGAAAATAATTACAAATAAGGGCCCAAAATGAAAATAATTACAGATAGAGGCCCAATATTTGAAAATTATTACAGATAAGGGCCCAAAATAATTATGTGCTTTTAAGAACCTATGACTTAGGCCTGTTGAATATGATTGTAATATAGTCATTAATTGTTAATATAAGAAATGTAATAATAATCTATTATATTCGATTCATCAACCAATTATTTACACTGTAAATTTATTCTGATATATTTCTTAAAAACCTGCTTGCTTATAACAAAACCATGTCAAATGCAAATTACAGATCGATATAATTTTACTTACATAAAAATGTTCATTCGATTCCGGATAGTTATTCTGTCGAATTTTCATCTCATTATAAGTTTAGAATGAACAAACAAAATAAGCTGTTGGCTATTTGCTTTACAAACTAAGCAGTTCATACCCTTTTACTATTTCAGCTAACAAGCACAAAAGTGGTGACATTCATTTAGTAAGGCTGATTCCTCATGACGCGACTTGTTTAATTTCTATGGAAGCATTCAAAGCATGTGGATTATATTTTATTGTGCATTAGTTAAATAAATAGCAGTACTTCGACCTCATGATATTTAAATTGTATTACATTATGAAGTAGGGGCTGAGACACCAAAAGCTACTAGGCCACACAGTTAATTTTTTATTTTGCTCAAAAATCTGTTTGGTCGCTCGGATTTTTATGTTTTCTTTTAATTCTGACTAATGAATAATAACTTTAAAACACCTA